CTGTGGAGAGCTTACTCTTGACTAGCATATCGTCGACATATACTTCCATGTTCCGGCCTATCTAGTGATGGAAGACAGCATTGACCAACCATGGGTAGGTGGCCCCAGCATTTTTCAATCCAAATGGCATCACATGGTAATGGTAGATACCTCGGTCGGTGATGAAGGAGGTGTGTTCCCGATCAGACGGGTGCATCAGAATTTGGTTGTACCCAGAGAAGGCATCCATGAAGCTGAGCATTTGATGACCGGCCGTGGCGCCAACCAGCAGATCTATGCGAGGAAGAGGGTAGCTATCTTTGGGGCAAGCTCAGTTGAGGTCGGAGTAGTCGACATAGAGTCACCATTTGCCATTGTTCTTACGGACCAGGACCACGTTTGACAACCATCTAGGGTAGTCCACGTTCTTGATGAATTGTGCCTCAAGGAGCTTATCTACCTCTGCAGCTATGAGAGTATTGCGCTCCAGATGAAAGATGCGCTGCTTCTGGCGGAAGGGTCGGAAGTGGGGCTCAATACTGAGGCGATGAGTTATGAAGGAGGGGTCAATACCCAGCATGTCTGAGTGGGTCCAGGCAAATACATCGTTATGTTCGATCAGGAGGGCGGTAAGGTCAGCCTTAGCCTGGACGGAAAGTTGGCTGCCGATCTTGGCAGTTTTTGCTGGGTTGGTGGGATCGATAAAGACCTTGACAAGTTCTTCCACTGGTTCCCCCCTAACCAGCTCGTCCTCGTCGCTGACGTCAAGTCCTTCAATGATCATAGCCTCCTTCAGCTTGACTTCTTTAAGTGAGGCGACATAACATTCTCTGGCCACGGTCTGCTCTCCCCTCACTGTGCCGACCCTAAGATCGGTAGGGAACTTGATGGCAAGGTGGAAGGTGGATGTAATAGCTTGGAAAGCATTGAGGGCGGTGCAGCCAAGGATGATGTTGTAGGCAGATGGGCAGTCGACAACAAGGAAGGTGAGCAGCTTTGTGGTCTGTCGCGCGTACTCGCTGATTGTTATGGAAAGGTCGATGGAGCTGATGGAGGTCACCCGATCGCCAGTGAAACCAACCAACGGGGTTTGAAGGGGAGACAAACTTTTTTCCCCGATCTTGAGCTGGTGGAAACAGTTGAGGAAGATGATGTCTAAAGAACTGCCATTGTCGACGAGAACCCGTCTGACCTTGTAGTTGGAGAGGAGGGCCGAGATGATGAGTGGGTCGTTATGAGGGTAACGGACGCCCGTGCAGTCGGCGTCCGTAAAGGTAATGGGCTCGGTCCACTGCCTGGGCTGTTTGGAGGGTCGGTCCAGAGTAGCAACTTCTTTGTCTGAGCCCTGCCTTATCTTTCTGAGTTCTGCCCGCTGAGCCGAGCGGGATGGTCCTCCACAAGCAAGCCCGCCAAAAATAACTCTGATTTCTCCAACAGGTGGGACGGGGTGACCTTGTGCCTGAGGTTGCTGTGGAGGGCGATCATAACCTTGGTTAGGTTGTGCTGATTGTCGGGGAGGAGTGCGCCGACAGTTATTTCTGATGGGTTCAGTTCGTTGTCTCTGCTGAGGGCAAGTTTCCGTGAATTGACTGAGACGACCTTGACGAATCAAGCCTTCGACCTGATCTTTGAGGTTAACACACTCCTCGATATTATGGCCGTGGTCCTGGTGAAAACGGCAATATTTGGACTGGTTTTTCCGATTGGAAGGAGTTCGTGATGGTTGGGGCCATTTTAGGAGGTAGTCACGCTGGATCTGATTGAGGACTTGTTCCATGGGTGAATTGAGGGGTGTGTACCGCTCGAACCGGCCGGGCAGTCGGGCTGGTGCCGACCGGTCGACTCGGGGGGGTCGGTCGATATAATGGGGTGTTTGGTTATTGTACTGGTTGTTTCTGGTTTCTGAATCCTTTCTCTTCTCCGTGGTGGTGGGGTTTTTGGCAGTAGGGTCTTGGCGAGCGTCTAGGGAATCTTCTGCGTTCATGTATTTTTGGGCTTTGGAGAGTAGGGTTGCCATGGAGGTCGGGAGGTTTTTTGAGAGAAAGAAAAGGAAGTCAGATGACCGTAGACCGGCCATGAAAGCTGTAAGGATGACCTTGTCATCGTTTTTCGCTACCTGCAAAGCTTCGGTGTTGAAGTGGGTAACGAAACTGCGCAGCGATTCCCCCTCGGTCTGACGGATGTTGAGGAGTTGGGTCGCCGGACGTCGCTGGCGCTGAGCTCCAATGAAGTGGCAGAGGAATGAGTCACTGAGGTGCTGAAAAATGGAGACAAAGTCCGCTGGCAATTGACTAAACCAAAGTCGAGCTGACCCCTTGAGTGTCACAGGGAAAGCCCAACACATAATTTCGTCAGGGAATGCATGGAGGATCATGAGGGTTCTGTAAGTCTCCAGGTGGTCGACTGGGTTCGTTGTACCGTCAAAAGAGTCGATGGTGGGCATTTTGAACTTGGGGGGTAGAGGTTTGTCCCGGATAGAAGCAACAAATGGTGAGTTGGCTGTGGTGGATGGTTTGTGCTGTATGTTCTGCATGACTCCTTAGAGCTGGAGCTTCATGGCTCGAAGTTCTGCATCCCAGTAAGGGACGTTGTCACCACCAGAAGGGAACGGGGGCTGGACGCTGCTGGCCTTTCCTTCAGGGGTGGGTGCCTGGACCGATTGATGTGGGACCCAGGGAGATAGGTTTATATCTGGGGGAGGTGGTCGCAAACCCTCCAAGTTAGACGGATGGGGCTGCTAGATAGTATGGGTCGGGGCTCGTTCCTGGTTTGGCGGAATATCTGGAGGTGGTGGAGGAGGCATAGGAGGGTTTCTTCGGAGTAGGGCATTAATCAAAGCTTGGTTCTGCTCAGCCAAGCAGTTAATGCTGTTGGTGAGCTCGGTAAAGTACTGTGGCGGGTGGTTTGGGTTGGGAGGGTCGGTTTGGTGATCGGGAACATTGGGGTGGGAAGCCATGGATCTAGTTGTGACCATCCACCTTCGCAGGTGGTAAGAAAGGGTTATCGGAAAAGGGCCTCCGGCGACAATGAGCACAACTGGCGCGCGGAGTAAGAAATTTCCCACAGACGGCGCCAACTGATGTTTTAGTTCGTTCCTGGTTGAACGGGTCGGACTGATCCACGCTCCTCGAGCCTGTGTCCGAATGACCAAGCCCACGGGGGAACCTGCACAGGGGTTCAACGGGGAACGGGGAGTCCCCCAGCGAACCCTCCGACGAGCAAGTTAGAGAGAGAAGTGGAATGTGTAGATAGATTAGAGATAGAAAAGTTTAACCTTCTTCTTGTCTTCGACGTCTGCTTATATCCTTTGGTAATCATTACATTGTCTCTTCCGACCTGTCACCTTGGCCGAAAGTCTATGTTGTACCTTACCTTGCTCAGGGTGAGGGTGTGCTGTCCCAACAGAGAGGGGTTATTGCAATAAATGCTGTAAGGGACCTCATTAATGGCGATGTGCCGTGGCAATAACTCTGCAGATCTTTGTCTGCTGATGTGGCTTGCCCTTCTCTTGCCATGTGTCTTGATGTCATTGGTTCTTATTGCTATATGGGGCTTCAGCAGTGTTGGGCCTAAGTATTTGAGATATGTATTGGGCGCTAAATGCTGGGCTATAGTCTTTATGGGCTTACCCATGTCACGTAACAAACTTGCTTCCAATCTTATGTTAAATCTAACATACTGAAGAAACATCTAAACAGGCCCAAGATGTATAAGAAATCATGTTTACTGAAAATGCAAAATGGAGGCACCAGAAGTAACAAAGGTGCTGGAAATTGTGTTCATGCATATAATATGATAGTGGTGTTGGTGGTAGATAGTGGCATGTATAGAATATGATAGTGGTGTTGGTGGAAATATAAATATTATTTATTTATTTTAATATCAAATATTATTCACAAATTAAAATTTTCTTATAAATAAAAATAATTTATTTAAACAAATAATAATATCTAAAAAATAGAAAAAAGGAAAAGAAAAAAAAAAGATTTTTGTTCAAATATATATCTAATATATAATATATATACTATTATTATTAGAATATAAATATATATATGTATATATATTATTAGTATATCAACGAAGAGACCAGCGTATAAAATATAATAGTATATATATATATATATTATTAGTACATCAACCGTATAAAATAAAAAAACAAAACAAGAGACCAGCGACTGAGAGAGACGAAGAGAGAGAGAGAGAGAGCGAGTGACTGAGAGAGACGAAGAGAAGATCGGAGAAGAAGAAGAAGATCGAAGAAGAATAAGAAGATCGGAGAAGAAGAAGAAGATCAAAGAAGAATAAGAAGATCGAAGAAGAAGATTGCAGAAGAAGAAGAAGGTCGCAGAAGAAGATGGAAGTCGTACCTTGGATAACTGCAAGAACAGCGACGACAGACCACCGACCACCGACAAGCGAAGAGCTACCAGGTGTGCCGGCGACCCTCTCTCTCTCTCTCTCTCTCTTTCTATCTTCTGTTCTCTCTGTTCTTTCGAATCTAGGGTTCAACAATTTGTTCTGGTTTTGTTATTTACAAATTGACCCCACAGAAGTTTCATAAATTATGAATTTTACTCTGCCGTGTCCCAAAGGTGTCCCAAGCGTGTCCAGAACGTGTCCGGTGACAAAAAATTCAAAAAAAAAGGGGGACACCTTTCACTACGTGTCGGACACGTGTCTACCGCGTGTCCGACGCGTGTCCGTGTCCGACACGTGTCCGACACTGATACGTAGCCTTCTCCAAGGTGTCCGTGCTTCATAGCCATGTCACGTAACAAACTTGCTTCCAATCTTATGTTAAATCTAACATACTGAAGAAACATCTAAACAGGCCCAAGATGTATAAGAAATCATGTTTACTGAAAATGCGAAATGGAGGCACCAGAAGTAACAAAGGACTTGTTCATATGCTACCTTCCAATTTCAATGGACCAACTCATAGATTCATCGAAATACAATAAGAAGCACAATGAACTAATTCAAAAAATTGCTTGAATAAAGAGATAGGAGCAAAGACTTACAGTCCGGAAATGACAACATTGAGCATGGTAGTGAAAGAATCTCCTCCATTGGCAATGTTCTTATGAACAACAATGCTCGTATACCAAACAAGCAATGACCATGAAAGAAAAAGGACACAGTGCAAGGTGCCAAGCCCCAGTCCCTTGGCTAGTCCTGCTTTCCTCCCATACTTGTAAGTGTCCAAGAGTGCTGCTCTATACGATCTCACTGCCTTTTCTTCTCCTGCAAATGCTTGAACTGTTCTCACATTTCCTATCACCTGAGAATTGCATAAAATCAGGGGAGAGAGTGAGAGAGAGATCTGTTCTACAGTGAATGCTCTCCAATTTACCAAATTAACGAATAAATTTTGACCACATCAACATAACAAAAAAGCCCATGTCTTTTTTCTTTTTTTTTCAAATCAAGTAACAGGAATAAGAAAAATCAGCTGAACTGTCACCTAATTTACGGAAGTGTTCCGCCAAAAACATACATTCTATGAAAAGTTTGTTTTACAGAAAATTATGTTAGAATTAGATCGCTTAAATTATGAAATCAAGTCCATTTTAGTAAAGAAAGTTGTACACATATAGAATTTGTATACAAAATTTCCATATAGAACAATTTGAGATGACACTTTTTACTTCAAAATAAACAAACATCAAATGTCATACAAACTAAATTTGGAGTTTAAAATAAGGTAATGCCAACAACGGCTCAAAGAGCTGTCATTAAGGTGAGGAAAATATCAAAAATAATCGTGAATTTCAAGGTATATCCTTAAAAAAGTTTTATATATTTTTTAATATTTTTCACACATTGTTGTACTATTTTCTCACTAAGTTTCTCTATTTTGAATGTTTTGCACGCATTTGCATATAATTTTCTTACCTCTATCCAGGCTACTGACGAATTGACAGCCTTTGCCATGTCATTGGCCTTTTCTTATAAGGTTTTAAAAATGTTGTCGTTACGTCATTCTATATCAAACTTTGCATAAATAATCTAGAGACAATAAAAAAAATTAAAAAAAAAAAAAAAAAAACTCCAAGGTTTTAGCTTTATAACAAAATAAAGCTTGATTTTTTAATTTTATTAATTCAAAACCTAATCTTTTGATTTGTTTTCAATCTAAATCATTCTCCTATTTTCGGTAAGTAAAACCAACAGAGAAAAAGAGTACTTTAGTCGTTAAACTAAATATAGATATAGATAAAATATCAACAATACCCTTTTTATTAAATTTAATGACTAAAATACGCATTTGTCTCTCGCCTTTACTTAACAAAATACGCAAATGGTTTAAATTAAAAATAATTCAAAAAATTTAGAGTTTAAATTAATAAAATTGAAAACTTATGGTCTATTTTGTTATAAGGCTTAAACCTTGGGTTTTTTTTTTTTTTGTGTTTTTTTTTTTTTTTTTTTTTTTTTTTTTGCCTTTTGGGTTTTGGGGAATTTTTTTTTTTTTTTTTTTTTTTTTTTTTGTAAATTCCCCAATAATCTATATTAAACTTTGCATAAATTAAACCTCATCATTTGGCATGAGAATTTTATATAATTTAATTGATAATTGTATTAATCTCTAAAATTTAACATTCAATATGAATCTCTATTGACAATGTAGTTTGATGAAGTGTGAGAGAGAGTTTGGAGAGGACCTCTTGGGCGATTTCGCCAGCGTAGACGTAAGATTTGCGAACACGGGCAATGAGACCAGTGGCAACAAAGGCGTAGACACCACCAGCAATGGCGATCAAGGGAACAATAGAGAGAGTGACGAGACTGATCTGCCAAACCCTAATGAATCCAATTGTGAATCCTGCTATGAATCTGCTTATGTAGTGAATGAAGTTCCCCACCTGCTTCAAATTCAATTCCCAATTTTTAGAGAGAGAGAGTAGAGTGCCCAGTGCTAGAGCAGGGCTGTGAGCAAGGTTTTAAAAAGCGGCCGCAACCGTTACGTAACGCCGTTACGTAATGGTTTTGGTGGTTACCGCCACCCGTTACGGCCGCTTTTGCAGTGTGATTAAGATTCACAGGTGTATCAGTCGTAGCGGTCGTAACGGTACTGTAACAGCTGTAACGGCTTATTACGCACCGTTACGTAATGGTTCCAAACTGTTTCTTTCAAAAAAACACACAAAAAAAAATGAAAATGGGGAAAGAGGGATAGAGAGAAGAGGGAAGATAAAGAGAGAAAATATTTTTTTAAGAAAATGAGTGGGAGCATTAATTAGTATTCCCGCTAATGATGTGATAGTAGGTCCCACCATGAATGATTTGATATTTTGGCCTTGGTGTTGTATTTTTTTTTTATTATTGAATGTCGTGTCATTAGTGGTCTTTTTAGAACTCTTTTAATAGAATAGAATAGGTGGATAGATAACAATAAGTAGCTGTGCTAAACCACCAAATAGTTCAATTCGATTACTTGTTAAAAATTTATTTAAATTCGGTTCATTATACCATCTCCAACGGTGCATTAAATCATGCATCAGATTTAAAATTTGATGAAAAAAGTGACATTTTCAAGTTTCAATGGTTTCACCAATTTGATATCAAAATGAGAATGGAACAAACATTTCGTCAAACTAAGGACAAGCTCTGTATATCAGTATTTCACTGTGCTTGACCGTTGGGGTGGGCCAACCGGTCAATCAATCGGATGTCCGCTCGGTTGACCCACCGGTCGACCGGTTCCCTTTCAAATAGGTAGGTTCAAACCGGTCAAAAAGGTTCAAACAGGTAAAAAAAAATTAACCTTACAGGTCGACCCTTCCCTTTTAATGCACGGTTGGAGCAAGCCATATCAGATTGAGAAAATTGGTTTTTTTTACATAAATTTGGTGAAAATTTTGGTTCATCGTTGGAGATGCTCTTAAATAAATAAGTTAAATTTAAATATATTTTAAGATTCGATAAAATTTTTAAATCAAATTTAAACAGTCAATTACTCGTTAATCTCGATTTAATAAGCATAAAATTACATAAAATATCAAACTACTCGAGTTCGGCTCAATAAAAACTTGTTTGAGATTAACTCGAAAGGTTAATGAACCAAGCTTAAACAAATTTTGACACTCGATAAAATTATCAAACTAAACTTGAATATTTAACTATTTGGCTCGTTTATCACCCCTAACCTTAAGGTGTATCAATAAAAAACATAAAATATCAAAATACATAAAATTTTAATTTTTTTTTTACGTATTTCAAAATATTTTGGTTTGTTTTTGGAAAGAATTAAAAAAAAATAAAAAGTAAAAAATTCACTACAAAATTTTTTTAAAAAAAATCAAACGATTATACAAAAAGGTTACATTTTTCATTTTTTCTTCTATTTTTTATACGTTTTTTTGTAAAAATTAAAAAATATTTTAAACATATTAATTTTTTTTCATCTTATATTTTAATTAAACAATAAAAAATTACTAAAATAACTAATTCCTAAACCAAATCTTTCACGTATTTTAGGGCTGGTTTGGGGTGTTCTAAAAAAGTGCACTTTTTGTCTTTTTGAACTAAAAAAGTTAAGAAAAAAATATGGAGGTTTGGGTTAATTTTTTGACTTTTTATAAAAAAATGTGTATTAAAAAATTGTATAAAAAAAAGTGTGTAAGAGATGATTAGAGAGGGGTGGCCCGAGCCGTACAACCGGCTGGAGTGAATTGGAGTTGGAAATTATTGGCTAATTTTTGTACAAAGCACTAGACGGTTTTGTTTGGCCCGTAGGGGTCATCACGGGTCCCATTTTAATAATCTGAACCGTTCAGTGTGTGTAACTCGTCGAACACTATGTACCTACAAAAAATCACGTTAATCGGATATTGAGAGCTATCTGATCAGATTTATTTATTTTTCAATTATTAATTATAACACCATCCATTTGTTGTACATAACTGATTTGATCATATAGTTATCGATATCCGATCAATGTGATTTTTTGCAGACATATAGTACTCAATAATTTCTACACATTGAACGGTTCAGATTATCAAAACGGGACCCGTGATGACCCCCATGAGACGAACAACGGTGTGTGTAAAAATCACACCCAATCATTTCTTTTTTCTCCACTGCCGCACACAGCAGCTGCACACACATCAATTCGGTGAATCGTGATTTTGAAGAAAATTAGTTTTTTAATTTTTTTTTTGGTGAATAGTGATATCTTTTTGGATTTTGGAGTAACTTTTTGACTTTTTAACTTATATAGGATAAGCCAAACCAGCCCTTAATACACTTTTTATATTATTTTTTAACACTAACAATAGTCCTAACGTCCCTTAATATTTGAGAAAATTATAATAGCACTACAAATTTAGCATAATTTCACATATTCCTTTTAGTATAATTTAAGTGATTAAAACTAATGCAAATAATAAGTAGACATTGAAATAAATAAAAACAAACATACCTTTTAATAAATAAATAAATAAATAGAGGGATGATAACTTCATTTTTTTATACATATAACTCAAAATTACTGTTAAAATGTATTATGTGAAATAAAATTTGGAGAGGGACCCATTTGATTCTTTAAAAAGGGGGATTTTTTTTAAGGTCCCTAGTATTAAGATTTTATAGTATAAAGGACATTCAATATTTTAATAATGTCTTAGGTCCCTCAAGTTGATCCAAAGAAAATTCACGTCACAGAGAAAATTGGTCCAGAGAAATTCTGACCTTCCCTAAACTTCCCACTATAAATTTCTCTGCCCTCCCTTTCTCTAAATTTCTCTGCCCTCCATATACTTCTCACTCTCCTAGAGAAATTTCTCTGTCTTTCCACAAAATTACATCTCCAGAGAAATTTTAAATTTCTCTACCCTCCCTGCCTCTCTTGTATTCAACTCTCCAGAGAAAAATTGGAAATTTCTTTGGTCTTCTCTTATTTCCAAAGAAATTTTCCTTCTCTGGCCTTCAAAGAAATTTCTCTCTCTAGAGAAAATTTCTCTAGCCTTCCTAGCCTTCTATTCTCTCCAAAGAAATTTTCCTTCTCAAAACCTAGAGAAATTCACTCAAACTAGAGAAATTCCCCCTCTCCAAATCTAGAGAAATTCTCTCTCACAATTTTTTCTGATTGAAAATCATAAACCTCAAACAAAATGCAGCTCATGATTCATACATTGGCTGGGGTGTTACAAGATCTGTCAACAGTACCTTGGGAAATTTGAAGAAACAGAGTCAGAAATTATAGTTGCAGAAATTATAACACACAACATGCTCCCCCGGTCTATGTCACTCCCTAAACCAATACATACACACATATATATACACGCACAAACACAAAATTTTGAGTAATGACTGGTAATGTGATCGGTATTTATCATGATCAACACTCACAAAGGGGCAAATCGATGAAGGAATAACAAAATTACCTATGAAGAACGCCATAGCTATGGCAGTGAGCAACCCCAGTGCACAACTAATAGGGAAAACTCTGGTTATGGAAGAGGCCGAGGATCGGGGCCCTTGCGGTGGGAATCTATTTCTCTCTCTCACCACATATACGTGTACACATATATGTGGTGAGAGAGAGAAACGGATCGATCGTCACCGGAAAACCTAATACTTGTGACCTGGGATCGCTTTCGTGACAATCAACCGCCCCAAATCTCTGAACTTGCTAACGAAGCCGATGATGACGAATATGGCTCCAAAATGAATCACTCAGTGGGCGTGGTAGTGAACGAGAGTGAGAGTGGAGGCAATGGTTCATGGTTGATCGAATCAGAGAGAGAGAGAGAATGATGAAAGCCCTAACCAGAGGAAAGAATAAAGCGAGAAAGTGAATTTTCTCTGGAATATACAAGTGTAGGATCAAGGGACCTCAGACATTATAAAATAATATTGTGGATCTCTTCCATCACAGAAAATGGGAGAGGGACCTTAGACTAATTTTCCCTTTTAAAAAATGTAATGCTAACTTCTAGAGATGAATTTTTTTAGCAAGGTTCCAAATTTTTGACCTTTTAAGAAAGGATTATAAGTTATAATTTTTTCCTATGCTATGATGCTAGGCATCAATAAATAGTTAAGCTTCTTTAATTCAGACAGCATATATGTAGGGTAAAATTACACTTATGCCCTCAAGATTTGGATTTAACACATATCATTCTTGATGTTTGGAAAATTACACTAACCCCTCTGTCATTGTAATTATTTAGACGAGATACACGTTTGTATAAAAAAGACATTGAATTCATACACATTCTCTTTTCTTGCTTTGCTTTAACTTTTTTTTTTTCTTTCCTTTGCTTTATTTTTTTTTTTTTCCAATGTAATTTTTTATGTTTTTCTACCAGGAGTTGTTACTTTTTATATAAGCAATAGTTTATGAAATGAAACTATTAACTACAGGGGTGAGAATGTAATTTTCTAAACATGAGGGGTTGAAATGTATTAAATTCAAATCTCACTGGGTGTTAGTGTAATTTACCCAAACATGTAAATGTTAGAATGTTTTTAGTCTTTCTTAAAAAATTTCTCATTTTGTTTTGTATTTATTATTGTCTTTCATATTTTTAAACCAAAATAATGAACAATTCAAAAATATCTTTGTTTTTGGGTGTTTATTTTACCTTCTCAAATTTCAATATTAACCTATTTAATAAATAAGGTCCCTTATGATATACCATGAGTATAATATAAATATATTTTTTCACAAGTGCTAAGAAAATCATGTCAAATACCAATGAAAATAAATATAAAAAATTATAAAATCAAAAATTTCTGAAATTTCTTTTTTTCAAGGCATTAAAAGTATAATTTTGATGTAAATTGAGTGATCACTATTTCATTATACGATTGGTTAATAACAAATTCTTGTCAATGAGAGAGGCTTCATATGATTTTT